CAAAGACCAGCCCCTGAAAAGCAGCCCCGCCGCACAGTCGAGCACGGTCGAAAGCCAACCCAACGTTGGCCCTCTGGTTGACCTGAGCGACGCTCCTAACGCCAAACCCGTCACAGAGCCAATCAGGGCGAACGGCGAGCGGCCGCAGAAGCAATCCGAGGCCCCCGAGAGCCCCAAAAGTCAAGTAGACGGCCCGATTAAGGACGCACCTCACACCCTGTGCACAGATGTCACCACGCACCCCCAAAATGAGTATGAACGTTTGCACTTCCACATCCGGGTCTTCTGCACCGGTAGTATCCCAGTGCCTCAAAAAGAGAATTTTAAAAGGAAAATTCAGCCCAGTTGTAATTAGAACGAATGTATTATTTCGGTTATTTGCCAAGTAAATTTGTCAAATTGATGTTCCAGAATTATTCAAGCGCTAAGATTAGTCGAGCTTCAATTTAGGGTGCAGAATTAAGTCTGATTGTGTACAAAAAGTAATGAATAGGCTTTATTAAAATGTCATTTTTTGGGGTCATTTGCCAGTTGTTATGATCGTTTTGGATTTAATACAAAATAATGCCAAACAACGCATGAATGGTGAAAAAAAAAAGTTACATTTTGATCTCTCAAAATTCTCGGGTTTATCATGGTTTTTAAAATACGGTCTGAACTCTTCTGAATGTCGTTGAATTGATTGCAAATAGTAATTAAAATATTTTAATATATTTTTAATACATTCATTTGGTGCTTATTATTTTTTAACTCATGAAATCTTGAAATACGAATTCAAAAAAATACATTTTTTTTATCCAAAGTTAAGGTGTTGCAAGCTAGCTTTAGCCTCTCATCAGAATTAGTACAAAAAAAATAGACACTAATTATTAAAAACTGTTTTTTGCAACCTCAACATTTGAAGGTTTTCGAAGAGTGTGTTACTTTTGGTGGGGACATTTTTCATGATCATTTCATCATATTTGTACCAAAAGTAATACAAAAATAATTGAGTTTTCTTGAATATCCTTGTGTGGCATAAATTAGCATTCGGGATGCTAGCGGTGCAGAAGCGTCATCATTCACCACCTCGCTCACCATCTCCACCCCCGAACTGTTTGTGTCCAACGTCATCGACTAACCCGCCGCTACTTCACATCTTCTGTTTGCCTGCTAAGAATAGCTACAACCTCTTAGTGACCTCATCCTTTTGTTTCTCGTAATTTGTCCATAAGAGTGTTGTAGCTGAAGTACAAGTTTTGTTTGCTGTTGATTTTTCAATCAGCCAAATTTTTAACACGCTGAAATTTCGTGACATTTGAGTTGAATTTATGTTGAAATGCTAACTCGCGCTACTGCGCGCAAGCGCACGCTAGTGACGCGACGCTAATTGCACTGCGCTTATTGCTGGACGTAATGTTGTGGAAGCGTTTTATCAGTAGAAAACATTTTAGAAAACCTTTGTGAAGCGTAACTCTTAAAAAGAATCTTTTCTTTCCAGTGTCAAAATAACTAAAAAAAAAAAAAAAAAAGAATTAAAAAACATTGAATGACACAAGTGCTACCAATTAATTTTAAAGACTTTTATTTTTAGATCCCTTTCAAGCTATTTTCGAGACACAATATTCCCAACAGAGTATCCTAACCTTATTTTTCACCGCCCCCCCCCCCCTTCTAGTCTGACAGACTCCCACGTCAGCTGTTATTTTCAGCTTTTCTCCAAGCGTACGCTAACAACTACGCCGTTGTAACGGCGTCTGGCTCCAGACGGCCCGCTAATCCTCTTGTATGTGTGTGCGTGTGGTTTTTTTTGTTGTGGGTCAGCTCTTTTTTTTTTTTTTTTGCTTTCATTGTGTCTCCCGTGTCTTCATTTACACGCCGGCTGTCGCGGCGACCGCGACACCCGTACGCTGTCATTCCGATGCATGCCCGCGGGATCGGCGGAGTGATCCCATTATGTGTGAAACACGCTTCCAAAAGGAGGGTGCGGGGGGGGGACAATTTCCTTGAAAAACTAACAGGAGCCTTGCTTGTGTTCCGCCCTCGCAGGAAGAAAACGAAGGACGACGTCAAGACGGAGGCCAACAACACTGCCGTTGAGGTGAAGACGGTCCCCAACGAGGCGCCCCAGACCAACGGCAACGAGAGCAAAGCGTAATCGGGAAGGTCGAGAAGGTCGGGGTTGGGTTTGAGGGTTGTGGGGGGGGGGGGGGGCTGGGTTTTTGGGTCACAGTCACTGAAATCTCGACAATTTTTACACGGCGAGCCTGCCGTCCCAACGGAAAAGCGAAACGGTCAAGCAGTAATGAAAACGGGGCGTCTCGTCTTTTTGGGTGTCTTCGGACCAACAATACGGAAAGACTGATGCAACGTGCCTTGCAGTCGGTCGCTTTTTAAAAAGAAACCTTTCGAGGCAACTGCCTTCTCGCAACGATGCGTGTGACGGCCGCGCTGAAATGGGAGGGGGAAATCAAAATCGTTAAAAAGTTTCAAAAAAAACAAAACAAAAAAAAACTTTTTAATGTTCCAGGAATAAAATCATTGTACAAGTTGAAATACCGTGAGGAAAAAAAAAAGTCATCGTGTTACAAGAACAAAGTCGTCGTTTCACGAGAAAGTTGTCAATTTACAAGAAAAACGTCCAAATTTGAGTCTAGTGAAGTTGTAATTTCGCAATAAATAAGCCATAATATGTGAAAATAGTGACAATTTTACAAAAGTAATGTTAGGTGTCCTAAAAAAAAAAAAAAAAGTCACCATTCAAGAAGAAAAAAATAAAAAGCATAAGAAAATGTCTGAGAATGCGGAAAATAGTTGCACGCGACGGTCGTTATTTAAAAAATTGTGACTGTTTTTTTTTTTTAATGACAATTAAACAGTTGTAAAATCACAGTGAGTAAGTTGCCGTTTTACGGGAAAAAGATTTCACAGAAATAATATGAGGCATTTAAAAAAAAAAAAAAGAAATCATCACTGTTCAAGGCAAATCACAATTTTACATGGGAAAAAAAATCTCATGTCTGACAAAAAAATGTGAGGAGAAAAAAAAAAGTAACATGAAGACGTTTCATCATTTTGATTTTTTTCGTTCACACAAAGAATAAGACGAAGCCAATTGTTTTCCCCCTTTTAATGTTACAACCTAAATTTCATCAAATTGCAACGTTGGCGTCCAGCTATGCTGCGTTTTTTCCACGTACGTTTACTTTTCAGTTTTTCTTTTCTGCGTGGCCCTGTAATGCTCCGTCGACCAACAAGATTCGATATTATTTGACCGTGTCGGACTGTAGCTTTATTTTCACTGACGACAGCCTTCACGAAAAAGAAAAAAAAGGAGAAAAACAAAACAAAAAAAGCTTTGCTGTATTTACATCATTTGTGTGACTTGGGATTGTGGCTCTTATTGCCCTTTTGTTGTTGTTCATGAATTCATGTACATTATTGCCTCTTTAGCTTTTTTTTTTTTTTTTTTTTTTTTTTTTTTTTTTTGGATTTAGTCATTAAGAGTGAGCATGGCAGTTTTTTGGGAAGGGGCGAGGGGAGGTTGTTTCGGGTTTTTTGGGGTTTTTTTTTTTTTTTTGCAAAGTTACTGTATTTCTGTACATGTTGCTGTCATTGGGTTCTTATTGTGATAATGTTATTATATGATTTCTTTTCAAGAATTTCAACATCGTATGATCCTTTAAAAAAAAAAAAAAAAAAAAGATGATACGCAAAACCTTTTACAATGACTCTCGCCATTCAGTTTCCGATGTTGGATTTTTACGACAGGTTTTTTTCCATTTACGTTGTTTTTATTCCATTGGCCTCAAACACCAAATCGTCATCTGGTTCCAAACTCGGATTTGCTTCGGGTATATCTTCTGGCCCGTTATATGTCTTGCTAACTTGGGGAAACTAAAACTCACGTGACAAGAATTTTGTGTTCATTTCAAAAGCCACCAACAATTTCTCCTTATTGAAAACCACTTGTTAAATAATCTTTTTTAAAATTTAGCCTGAAAACAAAAATGAATCATTTTTCAGAAAAGAAAAAGAACAAAATTTCTCCAGCTGCTTACTATTTAATTGCAAATAAAAGACACACAATAAACAAAAAAAGAGGTCACGGTATCCAAAACAAACTAATACATTTTCAATTAAAATAAAATGTGGGCGGGGGTGGAACAACCACCAAAAAGAAAATTGTGTTATTGTGTTTGCACGAGAAAAAGAACAATTTGGAGATACGTGGTTGTCACGTGGCAAAATTAGCAAATTGTTTGTTGTCATGTTTTTTTGAATGCGTTTTGTCATATTAACAGTTAGTATTGACGATCAACAAAAGCTAGCTTGCATAATTTTGAACAAGCGCACAGAAAATAAAAGAAAAAAAAAAAAAGAATTTGGGAACCAGAAAAAAATGACTGAGATTTGAGATTCTGGTCGACAGCAGCAAAACGTGTCACCATATTTGTGAATTGGCTGCCAACTGAGTTGGTGGGCAATCCCTGTTAGCTTAGCCGCAATGTTAAACAAGCTATTGAGCCTATTCCGATTTTTCGCACTCCACACATTTTGCCTTGTCAGAAAACTTTCAAAAAAAAACTTTTTTCTTTTGTAAATGAGTGTGATCTCATTGCTTTTTTTTTTTTGTAGAGTTGCTCCTTTTCAGACTGCAACTGTGAATGTGCGAGTCCCTTGTGGCTTTTCTCCCCCCCACCCCTTCATGGAATTAGCATTGTTAGCATACATAGCCGTGCGGTACACACTCATTAGACGTGAGCAAACTGGAAACGACACAGTGCCTTTGAATACGACCTCAGTTACATACATTCCCGTTTCCCCACCAACTTTTTGTTTTTTCATTTTCTTTTTTTTTTAATTTAATATTTGTTGACATAATTATAATATTTCAGAATAGATGCATCTTGTATATGTGATGGGTTCTTGACACTGTCCTCCGTCGAAGGAAGGCGAATTCCTTCAGGGCTTTTTTTTTTTTTTTTTTGAGCTCCGTCCATACATTTATTGCCTTACACTTACAGGTGCATCTGAATAAATAAGAATATTGTGGCAAAATGATTTTATTCCAGTAGCTCAAATCAGCAAATAATCGACCCATTGCATCAAAGTTTTTATTTTTTATGCAAATAACTGCAGTTCCATGCATAACAGAATAGGATTTTTAAAAAAATGTATACAGGGTGAATAATTTCACAAATTTTAAAAGTAATTTTGATGATTATAGCTTACTGTGAAGGAAAACACCAAAATGCACTGTCTCCAAAAAAAAAAAAAGTGGAATTTTACAGAATAAAAATTTGCTCCACATAATACGAGCTTCACTTTTTGAATTGTTCTACTGACATCAGTGAACGTTTTCTTCCATATTCTAATGTTTTAAATGCACCTGTATTAGTAAGAAGGTAAATTAGTACAAAAATGACCTTTGACAGGCTTTCAGACCCTAAAATAAAAGTACATCGGGTCAACTTATTGACTCTGAACAGGACCAAGATGCTTTGCTACTTTCTGCTCAGGTCTCATATTCCCTCTTTTTTTTCCTCTCTCTCTCTGGGGGTGGGGGGGGGGTTGTTTTAATCATCTCCTTTTGACCCACAAAGGCCGGCACGCAAAAACAAAGTAGAGTGAAATATTATTATCATTGCAGCCAGGCTTCATTTTAGTGTTTGTATTCATCGTCTTGGTTATAGCCAAGCCTTGTCATTTGTCTGCCGAGTGTCTCATTTTCGCTTCACATAAGCTCTGAAATGTCATTGAAAGAAATAAAAAGAACATGAAGAAAAAAAAGACAAAAAAATCGTTCATGATTCATCTTTGCAAATGAAGCTGTTTTTCAGTAGTTTTTCCACGCATGACATTTTGTGCTTTTGTTTTGGAAAATTAATTGGTAGACAATACTCAATTTGTTATCATATTATTTAATCAAGTTGAAGTATTACATATATATATATATATAACAGGCAACCTTTTGTTTTTGGGCTTCTATTTTTATATCCAGAGATGAAAGTGGACTTTCCTGAAAATTCCGGGAAAAAAAAAAATATATATATATATATATATATATATAAATACTTCCTATATGTATGTACTATTTGTACGATATTATTTTCATGATATAGGAAAAAAATTTTAATCTCATTCATTGTTAAATTAGGTCAATTCCATTGCATGTAAAATAAAAATGAAAACATGACATTTATGCTTCGAATTCAGTCACAGAATGAATTCAAGAAAATAAATTATGAAAAAAAGTAAAGGTTTTTTTTAGGATTTACTTTTAATCTTACTGAATTAATTACATTCTACGGGATTTATTCATAATGACATTTTATTTTTGGTACTTATTTTTATTACCCATCGTGAAATGGCTTTTTTTTCCATGTGAGCAAAATAAATCAACAGATTGTCTTTGTGGTGTAATTATACTTTCTGACCACCAGCAGGCAGCAGATTCCTAATTTCTCTCAAACCAAGTACATTTTAATCCCAAAACTAAATCATTTAAAAAATAAACTTTATAGAGCCACAACTCATATGCTAACCCGATACGAGCTGCACCCAATGTTTTGTGTTTAGTTAAATCGCGTCAGGGGCGTTGTTCAAATCAATAAGGACGATGTTTTTTTTTTTTTTGTTTTTTTTTTTTTAAAGACGTAATTCCCAGTTTTTCCAAAAGATGGCAGACTAATCCAATCTAACACGGATAATGGGTGTCTCCACGCGTGGACTTCCACACGCTCTTTCGTGGCAGAAATAGATTATCATATTTTTTTTTAAAAATAAGAAGAAAATGAAACATAACTAGGACACAAAGACTCCACGCCTTCTGCCCACTTTATTGGATACACCCGCATTAGCTCACGGCAACGAGAGTTGCATCGAAATATCTGCTGCCTTTAGATAATGAGGTGTTTCTAATAATTGGAAATTCAGCATGTTGTCATGCGGTACACACACACACACACACACACACACACACACACACACACACACACACACACACACTGTATCACTCTGGTGTAAACGTTCCTAATAAAAGTCGTGTTGGTGTTGTCCCGTCTTCAGACGTTGTGAAAAGTAATCAGATTTCAGTTGTATTCTTCCTTCCCTTCTTGTCCTTATTTGCCACCAACCTCCACCTCTGCACACAGCAGATTAGCGGAGTCCTTTACAGATCCCCCACCCCACCCCCCTCCCCAAACTGGCCCAAACAATGGTCCAGTGTGGTCCGAAACTGATCCTCTGCGCAGATAAGCGAACCGGCGGACAAGGCAGGCCCACGTGCTTGGGGGGGTTTCTGACATTAAGATGCTGCGGGAGACTTTTTAAAAAGTAGTCGTCCGTGATTTGAAATTGGGGGGGATTTCAGTCCTCTGAGGGCGATATGGTGCGCAAAAAAAAAAAAAAAAAACTACGCAACTTTTGAAACACGTGTTTTGTTGTCGCTGGTGCTTTTTATGATGAAATGTTGTTTTGCTGTTCCGCTGCCTGTTGGCCATGCGGAGGCCTGGAATATGACTTGTCAGCCCCCCATTAAAAAAAAGAAAATAAATATCAATAATATAATTAAATCAGGATTGTGTCCAGTCAAAAGCAGGTTTCCACACTATTAGTGAGGCCAAATGGTGCCAGTTTTTCATGAAATGTTTTTTCTTCACATGTTGTGATACACTCGCATTATCTGCTTGGTTTTTATTTGTTCCGCATACGTTTATATTTCAACTATTCAATCATTTTATTTCATGGTCCCATGATTTTTTTTAGGTTTCTATTTTGAACATATATGTTTCTATTCGTTTTGTAATTACACTGATCAACTGCAAATTTTAATCAGAGGTGGCTTTGTGTGTTCCGAAATGTATTTTTGACACTGGTTTAAAAAAATGTCTTCACTTTTTTTTTTTTTTTAGCGTATCAAGTTTTTGAGACTTTTCATTTAAAAAAAAGTCACATACAAATGTTACCACCTATGACGCTGCAGAAAAATTCCACCCATTGCTGAACCTAACCCTTACTCATAAATATTACTAATTATATTGTTAGATTACATATTCCCGTTAGTATTATTGTGACTATTGTTATTATTATTATTGTGATGAAAACCTGATGTGTTGAAGGACAAATGAAGGCAGATAATGGAATCAGCACAAAAAATATTATTGAGAAAAGTTTAAACTCAAATTGAAAAAATTGTTGACCAGTGTTATCGCTTTTTTTTTTCTTCTTACATTTTACTACTTTTTATTGTTTACATTCACACAATGTTTAGAAGTTTTTGTTGCGGTTGTTGGTTTTTTTTTTTGTTTTAGAGACCTGGCAC